CTCCGACTCCTAAGGCCGGGCCAATGAGGTAAGTCTGACGTCCGACGCAGCACGAAACCGCGCGAAATAATGGTTTTCGATTTTTGTAAAATACGAAAATGAGTGATGCTGATTTAATTGAATATGTCCAACAATTCGATGTTGTTTGGAATAAAAAAAATCCAAATTATAAAAATAAATTAGTGGTTAGGTTTTGTTACATTTGCACATGCGTAGTCCGAATTTCCAGGGAAGCATAAACGAGTCCTTAAGATTAAGTTAAGACTAAGGGCGGTATTCATAGTCCGTTCTTATATTTAAAATCGTCTTAAGCACGGACTTATATTCGCTCTCTTCGTCACACATAGATTGTGTCTGACGAAGAGAGCGAATATAAGTTCGTTCTTAAGACGATCTTGAATATAAGAACGGACTATGAATACCGCCCTAAGACTAAGATTAAGATTAAGACCGAAGCATAAACCAGCCATAAAAGATCTGATAAAATACTCCAATGGCGATGAGCGTTCACACAACCATTGTGATTTCTGAACGCGCCCAATGGTTATCCTAAGGCCTATTTGGGATCATAATATAATGCGACAATAATTTCCCGTCGCCAGTCCCGAAGCATGACTACTAATTGAAAAGTGCAATTTCTAGTTATTTTTGGTAAGACGGGGCATTTGCGACTAGCAACAGGGCATTTGCGATGCATTCTAGAATGGCCCTAATGCTGGATTCACACTGAGTGCGATTTTCGACGTCCAATATCCGATAACCAATAGGAGAGATGGAGGATTCACACTGCGTCCGATGTCTGACATACGACGTCCGATATCCAATAATAAAGATTTGGTCTGTTCTTTAGAGCTGAACTGGCTGCACTAGTTCAGAGTTTATCTTTTTCCCTCCACATTGGAAGGAGAAAGATAAACTCTGAACTATTGCAGCCAGTTCAGATATAAAGAACAGACCAATAGTTTTCTAGACGATAAAATATCTCTAGCTGGAATTTCTAGAAAACAAACTCTATGGCCGGTATTTATAGTCCGTTCTTATATTTAAGATTGTCTTAAGTATTGTCTTAAAATGCTATGAACCAATCAAAAAGCCATATTAGTATCTTAAGATGACGATGACGACGACTTAAGACGATCTTAAATATAAGAAACAACTATGAATACCGGCCTATAGGTAGTTTTCCACCAAGAGACACAAGCGACACAAAAGTATTATTCTCTCTGTTGCTCATTGAATATCGAACAAAAACAGAATGATACTTGTGTCGATTTGTGTCAACTTGTGTCCTTTGCTGGAAAACAACCATTATTGGATATCGGACGTCGTACGTCGGACATCGGATGCAGTGTGAATTCTCCATAAAATATAACGCATAAGGAAATCAACCAATCAGAGTCCTTTATTTCCATCCCCAGGCTACTATATATATATAATCTATAGTTTACGTTACGTATTGTAGATTTTCAGTACTCGCAGTGAATTTCGGAACACAGCCATAGCTCAGCGATTCTCTTTCATTTTATCATTGCAAACGCTGAAAGGACGTACCTAACCTATCTGGTGCCCATACAACAATATAATATGATATTTTTGGGACTGGACTTCAAAAGAATCGAGATTAAGTGGATATCTGTAAGCTATAAACACGGATATATAAACAAAGAAACCTCAAGAAGGAGCATAAGAATGTTCAAAAAACCTCTGTAAACTGGATGAGAGATGGTCGGTACGTTAAATACCTTTGGGATTATAAAACCCCCATACAACAATATAATAATAACGTTGGCAACAACAATACATGTATCGTAATTGTCTGAAAAATAATATCTAGCTCTGTCTTCTAGATTTTTAATCGTCTGTAAGAGAGTCAAAGATTGCGATAAGCTGTATGAATAGATAGATGAGTAATGTCTAGTTTAAAATTGCAGGTATGTATCTGTATTTTTTCAATTCAAATAGTCTTTCTTTAACATAATATAATAGCTTAATTTTTTACAGTTTCACTTTTTGAATATAAATTAAAAGAAAATACTGGACATCTATGTACTAATTCCACACCTGGTATCTTAAGGAATTATCGATATCTGCATGCACAAATTACCTTTTGGACTGAAAATGGTCAAATCGACGAGGAAGATGTCCATTTTATAAATTTTTTAGTTTTCGTAAGATGCTTTTAATTTTATTATAGCATAAATCGCGTGCAAAGCTTGATATTTTCTATATATATCAGTTTTTATTATTTCAAACTTCTGTATATTGTTATCTCTTTTACTTTTTTTCTTTAACTTTTTGTGTTTGTTAATTTTCTGTTCTACATAAAAATGTGTGATAAATTAAAGAAAAAGCCTAGGCGAAACTTTTCAGAAAATTGGCTCAAAGATAGTCGATTTAAATCTTGGATACGCAAAGTAGAGTATGACGATAGCCTTTTTTATTGTACTATATGCAATAAAAAGTTGTCGTGCAACTTATCGCATGTTTTAAGACATGCAAACTCTACGTGTCATAAAAATAATATGAAAGAAAAAAATACATCATTAAATAGTAATAATGGAAGTTTGACCAAAAAAATATCAAGAAGACGAAAATTTCAACAAAAATGGTTAGATGTCGAGCAATTTAAGCCATGGCTATGTGAAGTATCACATAACGAGAATTTATTTTTTTGCTCCTTCTGTAATAAATCTATTGTTGGTGGCAAATCGCAAATTTGGCGTCACGGAAAATCCAAAGCACACATAAAGATGTCTGAAGACAATAATATAGAAACTAACGAAACAAATAAAACAAACGAAACAAATGAATCAAACGAAGATGATAACATGTTAAGCAATGAATCACTTTTGTCACAAATAACGTTTGAAGAGCGAAAAAAATCGGCAGAAATTCGATTTGCCGCGTTGATTGCTGATAAAAATATTCCATATCAAACTGCAGAAGATATTCTCAGTTTTTTTCAACAAATAGGAGAAGATTATCACGTATTGAAAAATATGAGTATGGGTCGAACAAAATGTAAAAATATAATTACAAACGTGTTGTATCCAGTCGAGATGAACCGTGTGGTCAACAGCATTCAAAAGACAAAATTTTCAATTTTTATTGATGAAACGTTTGATATTTCTAATGAAAAATGGACAACATTTTTTGTTCGGTATGTTGATCCTGAAACATTAGACATTCGCTCGCAATTAGTAAAATTAATTAATATTGATGATAAAAATAAGTGTGACGATGTGATGATTGACGAGGAAAAATTATTTCATGTATTTCAATGCGAAATGTCGAAACTTAATATTCCATTTTTAAATATTGTTGCTTTGTCATGCAACGATGCATCTGCCATGACAGACACATATTTATCATTTAAAGAAAAGCTAGAAGAAACTTGTAAAAATTTACTAACATTTTCATGTCCATGCCATTCTACTGCATTGGCTGTGACTACCGCATATAGAAACATACCGGATTATTGCAAAGATTTTTTAAAAAAGATTGCGAATTATATTAACAATAGTCCCAAAAATTCGACTATTTATGAAGAGTTTAGTGAATGTATTCAGGAAACAAACTGCAAAATTTTGAAGTTGTCTGATACACGATGGCTTTCTCACTATTCATATATTAAAAAGCTTCTCGAGTCTTGGGATACAATAAAGTTTTTTCTTGCTAAAATGGACAGAAATGAAAAGTCAAAGTCTTCTGGACAGGATTTGTTGATTATAATGGAAAAACTTGAAGTAAAAGCATATTTATTATTTTTAAAACATATTTTATTTTGTTTTAATTCATTCAATATATTTTTCCAAACCTTAGAAACAAAAATTCATTTATTACAACCAAAATCAGTAGAGTTTCTAACTATAGTCTCTAAATATTTTTTGAAACAAAAGTTTTTAAATCATTTATGTAATAATAATATTCAATTTTCTCAAAAAGAGCATCAGAAGTCTTTAAATAAAGTAAATTTAGGGTCAGAATGTGAAGAATACCTCGAAAAATTGATGAAGGAAGGACACGCAAACATAGTTGGAAATGTTCGAGAGAATTGTCTACAATTTTACGTGACTGCTGCCGAGGAAATTAGTAAAAGATTACCGATTAATGACAAATTTTTATCTAAATTGAAAGTTTTTCAAGGAGAGACAGCTTTACGTGAACCTGACAGAGAAACATCATTCAACGATGTTTCTTTCATCGCTCAAACCTTTGGTGGTTTTGACCAAAATGGTTTAAGGAAAGAATGGCATACTTTATATTTAGAATTTACACAAACAGAAAAACAAAATCTTGTGAAATTAAATTTTGATGATATGTGGAAACAAATTTTGCAATGTCAATACTCTATTAATAATAGTAAATATCCCAATCTCAAGTCTCTTTTGAATGCTGTTAGATCACTTCCAAATTCAAATACCGACCCAGAAAAAATATTTTCTTTTATATCAGATTTAAAAACAACAAAACGAAAGAAACTTTCGTCCGTCTGTATAAATACGATTAATGTTTTACAATCAGCGTTGAAAACAAAAAAAGAAACTGTTCTAAACATGCAGATTAATGCGAAACATCTGTCTCTGATGTCATCGGACAAATTATATACTAATTGTTTTCCGAAACAAAAAAATAATGTTACATCATTTGCGTCAGATAATAATGATATCGTTGATCCCTCATCGTCTAATGATATACAATAATGTTAAAAAAGTATTTAGGATATACAATGCAGAAAAATGGAATGCAAGAAATGCATGTGAGGGAGAGAATAATAAAAGTTACAGCAGTAATGGAATAGGTATATATATAAAAGGAAGAGGAAATTAAAAAGGATTTGGAGAGAAGAATTTGGTTGTTAGATTAATATGGACTATAATGCGATACAGTGTTGAAATTTGGGAATGGAAAAAGAGGGGATAAAAAATGGCAAGGGAGGTACTTGAGCATTAGAGGGTATAGAGATAGACTGAGCAATGCTATACTATATGGTAAGAGAAAAGCTGTAGAGAGATAAGATGAGGAATAGGACAAGATAAAGAGCGTGGGAATTCAAACAAGAAAGAACGGAAATGTATATTAAATGTGAAGATTTGAAGTAAAGTTTATATCTTTACTGGAAATGGAAATCTTATAGGGAGAAAGAGACGTTCTTAGATAGGAATTGCGAATAAGTTAAGATTGCGTTGCGGCGTGTGTATGTGGTATAGATATAAGTAGCAGCGTAATAGAAGATAGGAAATAAATATGTAAAGCTTGCATAAAGACTATGCAGCAATTCGATTGCAGCAACAAATTGTCGCAACTTTTTCATTATTGTACTACGCAATTTTTAGAAGCAATTTGGTTGCAGTGGTTGCACAAGATTTAGATTCACTTTTAATTCTAACAACTAGTTGCATGCAATTGTAGTAATATTTTTGTTTTTATGTATTTGCTTTAAAAAGACAACTGTATTTTATGTATCGTAGTATTTTATTATGTAATTGACAATAGTTTAGTTCACATTTAACATTTGTTAGAAATGTTACTTTAATTGCATGTAGTGTGATAAGTCACAAAAATAATTGCTGCAACTGGTAAATTTTATCGAGGTTGCAACAAGTTACATAGTCTGATGCAGGCTTAAAAGCAACACACACATACACATTATAAAAGAATAGATATAAGTAAGATTTTGCGCACAATAAAGAAAGTATTAAGAGTAGGAATAAATATTAATTATTTTCTTGTAAATTTATAAAACAAGTTGATTTTTTTATAAACAAAGCATTGTTTTTTCTATACAAAAAATTTGAAAAATATTAAGCAACAGTTTTAAATGTTTAATTTCTACCTCATATTAAATATTCCGTTCTTAAATTTTAATATTTATGCTTATTCCTAATGTTTTCTGCATTATGCGCTGCGTTTTAATTATAAGGTAGTTTGTAAGTTAATTGTAAGAAAAAAAAAGACAAAGTTTATTGCAACTTTAAGGGGTTACATATATCTAGGTGGGTAAAAAAAATCGATTTAAAAAATATATTTAATCGAAAATATTTATACTATTCTTAAAGGATATTCCCTAAATAGTTTTTATTCCCTGAAGTTTTTATTTAAAAAATTCCAAAAATAATGGAGTTAATGCAGTTTCTCGCAACTAGCCAGTCGAGCAATCGTTTATTCTTAGGTTAATTGTTGGAAAGGTTTTCTTTCGAGACAGGATTTTCAAAATCAGCAGAAATATCTCAGACTAATAAATTTTAGTCGATTTACCTGAACTAGATACAGCTATTCTTAATAAAATGGCTTAGTACTTGTAGAATTTTTTAAAGCGTATAATAGTTTATTTTATAAATAAAATATTTTTTATTAATAAACTATAATAAATAAAAAGAAATTACTTTTTGTTCGAAAATTGAATATTCGAATAAAAATAATAGCTATTTTAAAAAAAATTAAAATTTTTTTTAATTAGCTACAAGTACTAATTTTATTTACCTATTTTAAGGAAATATTTTAAATTTTATTTTTGTTTTAAATAAGAAATGACTGAGATATCTCTGGTACTGTAACGATCGATTTTTGAAAATTGGCTTACGCGAATAACCATAACATGAAAAAGTTTTTTTTTAAATAATAATGTGAGAAATTAAAGATAAACTTAACAATTTTTAAATATATGTAAAAGTTAAAGAAAAAACAATTTTTATACACACAAAATTCTCAAATATGATTCTACTTATTTCCGTCTTAAGGTGTATGTAGCCCAATAAAGTGAATAAAATGCAAATAAAAATGTAAATGACAAAATGAAAAAGCATTTATACATATGTTACTGTCAGAGCTCGAAGGTTCGGTTCTTCACGCTTCATCGGTAACATAAAATAATGTAAAAATTTTTGCCACAAAGTATATAATCAATGTTTATATGGTTAATTTTTTGAATTAGAAACACTGTACTTATCTAATAATAATGTTTACATAAATAAAACTTTTTTTGATAAATAATTTGTTGATATTTTATTTTATAAGAAATATATATATATGTACAGGGTGTCATGTAACTGGTGGTACAAGCGGGAAGGTGATGATTCTATGAAAAAAATTTTATTCTATATTTTCGATTCAGTTTTTCATGTAGAATCACCACCTTTCCGCTTGTACCACCAGTTACTATGGCACCTTGTATATACATGCACCAAAAAAAACCTTGCAAAGGTAAAAAAAAAATACGTCAAGTACATAAAAAATATTCCAACTTGTACGCAACAAAAAGTTTTAAAAAAATTACCTCTAAAAAATATTATTTAAAAAAATATCACCTCTAAAAAATAATAATTAACAAATGACTTATTCTAAAAAATAGTTACAAAAAATATTTATATCAAAACTAAATATAAGATCAATGGTCATTTAGCCAA